ATCGTCCTCCAACTCATGGACGGAGAGCATGTGCTTCCGGTTCGTCCTTAGCTGCACCAACAGGGCCTTCACAACAGTCACCGTCTGCAGCGACTTATATGCCGCAACCATATATGATGCCACCGCCGTCTTTCCTTTACCAAACACCACCGTCGCCACCGTCATAAATTTATATGACGCCTCCTAGAGAATATTATGAGTCTATGTTTACATATCTGACTTAGGGTTCATATACTGGTTATTTGGCGGGTGCAGCCTCATCATCGATGGCCACCGCACAGACACCTCCTGTACAATTTTCTCATTCATCGATGTCTTTGTTTTATGAGTTTTCCCAATTTTCTATGAGCGATGGGTTAGTCAGTCATACACCTCCAATGTCTTTATTCTATGGAGGTGCTACATCGTCATCAGTTCCTCATCAACAAAATGTATATACTCCTGACGACGACGACGATGATGGAGATGATGATGACAGTGAGGAGTCACAACCAATTATACGAAGAAATCCTCCTCGAGACAGACAGTCACCGCCCTGCGGAACACATTCGCAGCGTAAATATCCATAGTTTTTTATATTTTATTATATTTTTATTTACTTGTTTATTGGACTTTTTTATTGTAATTTTTTTATTTATCATTTAATACTTTATTTATTTTGTTAATTTGGTTGGATTTTTTTTAAATTTTTTTTGTTAAATTTGTTGGACTTTTTGTTAATTTATTTTGTTAATTTTGTTTATTACCATTTAATATCAATTATTGTAATTTTTTTATTATTTACCATTTAATACTTATTGTAAGTTTGTTGTATTTAAAATTATATTCAAATACTAAATTGTTATTAGTTTGATAAAATCTAATAATTGTGTTCGATAACTTTATTAAATTTATCACTTAGTATCTCTTTTATTATAATCACATATAACGCCAATGTCGAATCTCGTTTTCTTGTATCATTTTTTTAATCTTCATCAGCGGTTATCGAATGACATTAACTTTAAGTAAATGCAAATTAAAGTACAATAATTATTATTTGATAAACAACAACTACATCAGTTTCTCATCAATGGCTACTTGATGACAACAGAAGTGGACATGTTCTTCTAGTGTGTCCTTAGTTTCTACAATGCCCACATTTTTTGTCGTGTCTAGATTTTTCTCGAATATCCATATCACAATGAATTCGAGTGGATTTTGAATGACCACAATCCCTCAATAAATTCGGGTCTGGTACAATCGGAACCCAATTCTGAACCTCATTAGGGTCTTTGTCATTACCTATGGAGGGAACTCAAATTCGTATACCTTAAACACTTCTGATAGTAGGTATACGGGATCCATAAAACGGTTATAGTCTTGACAGGTATGCGAGCAAGCTGCTATCACATGAGAGCATGAATACTTCAGAGCTTGAAAAAACCCGCAGTCACACCATCTGTCCCGTAGATTTACTCTTAAAAACACAACTTCAATCATTTGAAGAGGTCGCGACAACTCTGTGACACGAAACAATTCATGCGATCTAGAGAAACTTGTTACAAACATTCCATTTGATGCAATAATTTTTTTTAGATCTGCAACTAATCTAGGGTGATAGACATGACCGCCTTGCATCCAGGTTTGAGCTTGTCCCTCGTGCTTCGCAAAAAGAACCCTTAAACGAAAATATGTAGTTTTTACTAAAGGCACTACAGGTAAGAGACGTGCAACCTTTAAGGTCGAATTGATTGCCTCATCCAAGTTGGTCGTCATGTGTCCATATCGATATCCACCATCATATGCGTTTGTCCATATTTCTTTATCGATGTGGCTGATGTAATCGTATCCTTCCTCGTTCTTCGCCCGCAAATCTTGAAGCATGTATTCAAATGTTTGAGGTAGTAGTTTGTAACCTGATCAAAAATTGTAGAACTTACTAACTTTGTTTCCTTTAAAAAAATGAAAATGATAAAAAAAATGGTGGTTTCGTTTACCCATGCGCACAAGTAATTGACGCTCATCATTATTTTTGAACCTTCCATGGTAGTTCTCAACAATGTGTCGGATACAATACCTATGTTGGAAAAAGGGTGGCTGCCACAATGGACCCAAAGACTTCATTGTTGCTTTGATCCCAGCTCCGCGATATGAAATGACACATATTTTTCCCTCGTGATAACATGTGAACGTAAGTTTCGGAGGAAAAAACCCAAGAATCTGTATCTTCTCCTTCAACGAGAGCAAAAACAACTGGAAGAATGTTGCGATTACAGTCTTAGACAACTGCCAATAGTAAAACTTGCTTGTATTTTCCATACAAGAAAGTCCAATTGATCTGGACCACAAGCTTGCAGTATTTGACAGCATTAATGCACTGTGGGTAAGTCCAAAAAACCTAGTAGAATTGGCATCGATCACGAAGAACTCGATCATTATGGTATGCATGGAAGGTTTTGAAGTCTACAATTGTCCCAGGATTCAAGCTCCGCACCAGCCTAAACCAACTTCGAAGTTCGTTATAAGATGCATCCCATTCGCCGTGAAGTTTTTTAATGGCATTCTGCTTTGCCTTCCATGCTTTTCTGTATGAGACGGAATACCCATAGTGCGATTGTATAGCTGAAATCAACACAACAATATCTATATGTGAGCTTGCTTTGGCTTGACAGATCACTTCATAGTCCAAGTTGGGATGATCTTGGTTGATCTCTCAAGCGAAACATGTGTAAGGATCGTTGTATACCGTTAGTTCCCTTTTATTGTTTTTCCTCTTCCTCTTCAATACTCGAACCATCCAATTGCATCCGTCTTCACGTCGGGCACAATAGCATACAGATTTTTCTGTCGTAGAGCGGGAGACTCTGGATTGAACAAAATTACGAATATTGTAATTTTTTTATAACCATCATCGCTTATTCTTTTCTTGAAAACTCCATGTCTAAAGATAACTCACCATTGTATATTGATGAGTAAAATCCATAGAAACCGAGATTAGACATATCCGCAAATTCTGGCCCGTACATTGCACCATAATCAGCTTCATACATGTGTGCTGGAGGGTCAATTTGTGCCACATTTGAGGGAGCTTCATCTACATCATCATCATCATCATCATCGGAGTTGAATTGCAATGATTATGGGTGAATGAATAGTCAGTCTCAGCACCATCTGCACCTGGCTCATGAAGCGGTTCTTCTGGTGGAGATGATGGTTCCTCCATTCTCTCCATATTTAGGTCGAAGAACCTACTACTTGCATGCCTTCCCCTTGAACTAGAAGGCATATCGATATTGAGATCGAAAAAGCTAGCAGCCGAATACCTCCCCCTGGAGCTTGAAGTCATCGTGTCAAATGGAAACTGCACAGATTGTTACATCGAGGGCATCTCCATATTAAGGTCAAATAAATTTGCAGATGAATGCCTTCCCCTTGAACTGGACGCAATGTTGCCATACGGATTGTTCGTGGACCCACCTCGGTACATATCGTAAGAAGTTGCTGATAAATGTCTCCCCATTGAAGTTGATAGGACGACAACATGATGAGAATTTCTCATTATGGCATTAAAATCATTACACATTACTGTAGTCAGACTGTCAACTTGATTAACTTGTTCAGCCAGCCCATAGTGAGAGCTTAATGACAGACCCCAAAAAGCACGCACTTGAACAAGCTTTGCATACATCTCTATATCGGCGTCTGAATAATTACTTTGAGAATCAACCATCATTTCAACATCATCATTGTTCGATATTTCGAACGCTGTCTAAGTTAATGACAACAATGATATTGGAAATTTGTACTGCAACGACGACATTCTTCTAGTACTTCCAACATGAACTTTCATTGAAATCTACGTTATCAGCTCCTCAATAGTTATGTTTCTCTTGAAGGATATTTTAACATAACGATTTGATACGAAAACAACGTCGGTTTCATCTTCTCGAATTTCTCCATCATAATAAACAATAGCTTAAATTCGAGTCATTCTTAGAGTTTGAAAGTGCGACAATATTATATCTGCAAAAAAAAAAAAAAATTGAAACAAACCTAATTAAATAAATAATATATGAACGAAAATATAACACAATAAATTTTTTTACACATAAACGTAAATAATTTTACACATAAACGTAAATAATTTAAATAATATAATTTTATATTATTATCGTATTGACAAAAATATTTCGACGTATGCTCTCGCTTTCCAATTTTACAACCACAAAAATTAATTGAAAACAATTAATACAATATTTTTTCAAATAAACATATATAATTATAAAAAAATATTATAAAAAATTACATTATAACGAAAGATCGAACGAACTTCTGAATCAAATATAAAAGGATTACCGGGTGTTTTTGACTGGTTGAGAGGATTATTATAGTAGTTTTTCGGTTGAGAGGAGTTGTGAGAGAGTTTACGGGGGAAAGAGATATTTATAGCGGAGAGACGATGCTTTAAAGCCAAGAAGTTTGGATGCAATTATGCAAGGCGCGACCCGTGCACCACGCCTTGCATTATTCATGTCATAATTGTAGGAAGGTGCGGCCCTTGCACCGCGCTATATCCCTACATAGCATAAGGCGCGTCACAGGAGTCGCGCTTTAGCCAACGTGTATCTATGTCAGCGTAAGGCGCGTTTCAGGGGTGCGCCTTTCTGCAAAAGGTGTTAGATCGATAAATAAAGATAAAATGATATAAGATAAGTAATTAAAGTTTAAAAAGATGTTTTTTCGGTGTAATTGCCTTTTTATTCTTAATTAAGTATTAGAAAATGCCCCAAAGCTTAAACCTGTAGATTATCATAGTTTTGATATGGAAATTCCCTCCTAGATTTGTTTGAACAAACTAAAAAGAAATTAAAAACGTTGCACGAAAACCAAACAAAAAGCTAAGATTTTTTAATCAAATTCCAGGGTAAATCCATAGTAAAATAATCACATCGCACGTGTCATATACATTTCAATTTTATTTGCCCACCACCCCTCTCTCTTGTTTCGTTTCCCCAGCTACTATTGCTATTTTCACAGCCTTCGTCTTTGTTTTCCCTTCAAATACTTTTTGGTCTCTCTTTAACACCAACAAGCATTAGGGTTTTAGATTTTCTTTATCTTTTTTGGATCTCGCCGTTTTTTGAGCAATCTTTGGACATTTCATAGATTCTCTGGTTAATTTTAGGGTTTCCAGATCTATTCAGCTCGTCTGCTTGATCGTTGCTTCTTGTTACCATGTTTTGGAGTCTCACATCTCTCTCTGCTTCTTCTCCCGTGAGTAATTTTAATCCTAAATTAATTGATTCATTCATTAATTACATGTAAATAATTTTAAGTTTTTATTTCAATGCTTTACGTTCTACTTTTGATCTTCTTTCCTTTTGTGAGACTAATCTTATACGGCGTAATGAGTATTTTTAATTTTCATTAATATATATCTATATATTCTTTCTGGTAGTTAATTTGAAATTTACTCTGGATTCATTGATGCCAACATAGTAGTTTCAGTGACTTAGATTTGTTCTCATCGTTGGGAAATTTCATTTTATTCAAGTCGATGTATTCACTTTTATTTTTAAGCTCTTTTTTTAGTTGGAAGTGGCTGGAGTTCCTTTATTTTGAAGCTGAACTTTCTTATTCAGTGCTAATTGCTATTCTATCTAATTTGCGAAAAACATTTAAACTGTGCAGATATGTTTAGCTGGATTTACATTTTAGATTGATGCTGGTTCTCCATTTTAAACGAATTGTTCTAGTGATATTGTTGTGTATTTCCTGGGATTTCGGTTAGTTTCATTGACTGGTAATTTTTGTAGGTGGAGTCGATTTTAGACAAGGAAAACTTTACTTTGGAAGAGCTTCTCGACGAGGAAGAAATAATCCAAGAGTGCAAAGCTTTAAATAGTCGACTCATCAATTTGTAACTTTTGCCACTATATCACATTGTGCCTTTTCTTAATTTTTATTATGTTTTTATATTCTACCAGTTCCTACTTTGTTGGAATTCAGAAGTTATTCGCTACAGTTAAACTTGTGAAGTGATCATTATATAAACTGATTTTGAATCAGTCTTGCTTCTTGCTCATTATACTTAATTCTTTAACGTACAGTCTGCGAGATAGAGCTCAAGTTGAGCAGTTATTACGGTATATTGTCGATGAACCTTCAGAAAATGCTGACAGCAAACGGACCTTCAAGTATGTCATTTTCATCTGGACTGAGGAACTGACTTTTTTCTTTCTGTTTCCTTGTAACTTTTCTGATGTTAATTCCACCCTTTCTAAATGATCTTTTCATTTTCATGTCTAGATTCCCATTCATTGCCTGCGAGATCTTTACATGTGAGATCGATGTTATTCTGAAGACTTTAATCGAGGATGAAGAGGTATGAGTTTCTTTTTCATTATTGATTATACATCTTGAGTTATGGAAATTGCTATGACTTTGTTTCATACACTCTCCTCTTTGTTGCAGTTGGTGAACTTGCTTTTCTCCTTCTTGGAACCTAACCGTCCTCACAGTGCTTTGCTAGCTGGTTATTTCAGTAAGGTGTGTTGTTCATTTTCTGATTATTTTGTTTATTTCCCCTTGTTTTTTCGTGTCCTGTTTTCCATGAATGCTACTTTTTGTATTTATTACGACCAGTTTTCTATTAATGCTACTTTTTTGTATTTATTACAACTTGTTAAGTTTCATTTCCTTTGAAATTTAGGTTGTTATATGCCTTATGCTACGGAAGACTATTTCACTTATGAAGTACGTCCAAGTAAGTAAAGCTTTTGTGTTTACAATCACATTGTGATTTGCTTGACAAAATTGAGTTTTTCAGTGGTTTATGATCCCTTAACCACAAAGGATAGACTGTTGTATAGTTATCTATTTATACGGATTAACTGGGGCCTCTTGTTAACAGGCACATCAAGATGTGTTGCGCCAACTGGTTGATTTGATAAGAATAACATCCATCATGGAGGTACCTGAGATATTCTGTGGTGTTTTATTGCAGTAGTGGATTTTATATGGCTTTTCGTTAAATATTTTTGGGTGAAACTTGATGTAAGATTGTGCCTTTTTTGCAGGTTTTGGTTCGGTTAGTAGGTGCTGATGATCATGTTTATCCTAATTTTTTGGATGTAATGCAATGGTTAGCTGATAGCAATTTGCTGGAAATGATCGTGGATAAATTGAATCCATCTGTATGTGCAAATCTTTCGTTTTGTCTTTTTAATGGCATACTGTACGTTGTAATGAGTCTCACAACTTGTTTTTTACAATGACCAGTGTGAACCTGAGGTTCATGGTAATGCAGCAGAAACATTATGTGCAATAACACGGAATGCGCCCTCACCTTTAGCCAATAAGCTCTCTAGTCCAAGGTTTGTGAGATCTAGTTCCTTCTTGTCTCTTCTCTACTTGCATCACCGTCTTGATTCTACATCGTGTTTATGTTTTTGACTTGACCTATAATTCTGCATATGTTCAACAACAGTTTTGTTGCAAGGATATTTGGTCATGCATTGGAAGATTCACATTCAAAATATGGCCTTGTACACTCTCTCTCAGTTTGTATCTCATTGTTGGATCCAAAGAGATCAGCTATTGCTTCTCCCTTAATGCATTATTTCGGAAATCAACATATGTATGAGCCTCCAATCCCTGTAAATCCAGAGACTATCAATGCAATGCTCCCTAAGCTTGGTGAGTGGAGCTTTTTTCTGAAAGTTGTAATAGTTTCCATATATTCCTAGGCACATGTAAAATGTTGGCTTTCATTTTAGCCATGGTGTTGAAGACTGCTGCTTGTTGTGTAGGTGAATTACTCATACTTTTGAATGTTTCATCCGATGAGAAGATTTTGCCTACCACATATGGAGAACTGAGGCCGCCTCTGGGGAAGCATCGCCTGAAGGTTCATCTTATATTTTGAAAGAAGTTTTGTTTGCCAACCAACACGGATACTCAACTTGGCACCTCTTTGATTTATTTGGTGTTTGTTCACAATGCATATCAGGCTTTTTGCAGGGCTGTATCATAATTTATTCTGTTATTAATGTTTTATATTGTAACTTATTTATTTATTTATTTATTTTCAGATTGTGGAGTTCATTGCTGTCCTGTTGAGAACAGGAAATGAAGCTGCAGAGAAGGAATTGGTCAGCTCAGGAACCATTCAACGAGTTCTTGATCTTTTCTTTGAGTAAGCTCTTGCAAAACTTGTTATCTTGAATGAGTAAACAGTTGGAAGTTTGTATCTGGTTAAATATGCTTGATGTCCTCTTTAGGAGGTGGCGGATCATTTCTTTTAGGAGGCTAAGATTCATTTGTTTATTTCAAATTATACAGGTATCCATTCAACAATGCATTACATCATCATGTTGAGAATATAATATTATCATGTCTGGAGAGCAAGAATGATGCAATACTTGATCACCTTCTCCACAAGTGTGATTTAATTGGGAGATTTCTCCAAACTGACAAGCAACCAATTCTTTCTGGTGACAATAATCTGGTAGATGTTAATCATATTTCTATTTTGCATTCTGCTAACGTGTGTTTAACTGATTTAACTAGAAGTTGTTTTAACTGCTTCCTGAGTGCGCGGTCAACTTAACCTCTTTTCTGGTTAAACAGCCAATTTTACCTGCTGCTGGAAAACGTGCACCACGGGCAGGAAACATTGGACACATTACACGTATTTCAAACAAACTTATACAGTTGGGAAGCAGCAACAGCTGTATTAAGGCATATCTACAGGTGTGGAATTGGCTGCTTGCTAATGTTGTATTTATTGCTTCTGTCAAAATTAAATTAGGGTATGATTTTTTTAGTGGTTTGGTAAATCTGATTTAAGTTCATTAGAATTAGTTTTTGTATTTGGCACATTAGTGGTTTCTTTCCTTGGCAGGAAATGCTTGGCTGGATTGATATGATGAATTAGAATATTTTGCTTTGATTCTTTATTAAATAAATATTTTTTGTGATTTTTCTGACTTGAGTTCATATTATATAGGAAAATAGCGAATGGAATGAATGGAAAGCAAATATTCTGCTAGAACGTAACGCAGTTGAAAATGTTTATCGATGGGCTTGTGGGTATGTTCTTGTTTATCTTCTTATATGTACTGCAGACAGATTAGTAGGATGTGATTGAAGGTCAATCATCTCTTATATATGTTTTTATTAGTGAATAGTGAGAGTTCTTGTACTCATGGATTCCGAGGTCTCTTCTGTTATGTGTACGATGTGGAGCTTCTGATAGTGTACCAATTTTCTGTCCATGTTGTAACACATTATAGCTTTTCCTTCTCATGTGCAGTCGCCCAACATCATTGCAAGACAGAACACGGGACAGTGACGAGGATGATATTCATGATAGAGATTATGATGTTGCAGCTTTAGCAAATAACCTAAGTGAAGCTTTCAAATATAAAATCTATGGCAATGATGATAACGGAGTATGTATTTTGACTTTTCGTAACAGTATCTTAAATTCTACCTGTTTGCTTTACTTATTGTTCTTATTAACTGTTTTCAGGACCATGGTGCTCTTGATCGAGATGATGATGTGAGTGGCTCCAGTTTCTTTTGATTAACTGAAATCATCTCTGTGCTTGACCTGCCATTAACTTGTTATTCCAAAGGCTTCTCTATTTTGCCTATTAAAGAAATTTATGGTGACATAACTGAGGGTTGTGTTAAGAACAGCATGAGTGATGGAGAAACCAAACAATTAGGGGTTTTTATCATTTCTGTTAACATCAAAATCTACCATTAATATATGTTTTTACTTTGCAGGATGTATACTTTGATGATGAACCTGCTGAGGTTGTCATATCATCCTTGAGGCTTGGTGATGAGCAGGGGAGGTGAGTTTTCTTCTTGTTCGTTAGTTATGGTTTAGGTTGCTTCGACTCCTTATTTTTGTGGAAGTGCCTATGTTTGACATATGGTATGGATATGTGGATATGGTCTCTAAAGATCATCCAAATATATGGATAAGCTTAGAAAACTATGACCATACCCCTATCCATCATTCACGCCCAAGTCCAAGCAAGATAGCTCATTGTAATCTGAGGTTCACGATGGGCACTCCAGATGGGTGGATGTTGTTAAAGAGCCACCAATGACAGTTGCATTGTAAATGTACAGTTTGGGGTTATATTCTTTTGTTGAAGTATCCATATTACTGGAGATTACAAACCATGTTTTTCTAATGCAGTAGTCTTTTTACAAATTCCAACTGGTTTGCCTTCCAAGACGACAGAACCGGTAATGCACCAACAGGCATATCCCCTTCAGAGATGATGCATGAGATTAACTTGAACGGCACTGCAAATGGTGGTAACAGCAGTAGTGATGATGAGGTGGTAGTTGGAGAGGAGGATGAGGTGAATGATAATGGCACGTGTACTTCCAACCCGATGACTGGATTGAACAACGATTCCATGATCGATGGAGACACACCAGAAGAAAAAAACATGTTTGGAGCTAGACCTGTACTTGAGTGGGTGGAATGGGGAGAACCTTTGGATCTGCAAGTAGGCGGTTCGAGCAGGAATCCATTTCTTGATGACGACAGCTCAGGGTTCAACCTACCGAGTCATACTGATTCGGCGATGAGTGATGGAGGGCCGCCTTCAGATGGGGAATCCATGCTTCCAAATGGATCCTCCAACTCCATGGATTCGAGTGAGGGATCAGTGAAGAGTGAGACAAGTAAAGAATCTCCATCAGCAGTTCCGTCTTTGTTTGAAGAGGATGTTGAATTCATAGGGGTTGAATTAGAAGGTACGGAGAAAGCAATGGAGCAGGCTTTAAAAGAAGGAATAGTTGGGGAAGCTGGACCATTGAAGAGGCACGTAATTCCAAAGGTAGCAGAAAAGGAGAAATCGGATGGTGGGATGGAGTTCAATGATGCAAACTATTGGAGGGTGGATCATGAGGTCACTGTTGTGGAGTAATGCAAGTTTTGGTTGGCACTGTCAAAAATTCATCGTATGTACAGTTTAATATTGTTTCCAGACGGGTGACGGTAAGCTTTGCCATCTATGCTTATTACTGTTCATTATTACTTATTGTTTCCTTTCTCATCTTTCATTCTTCTCAGTGCTTGAAGGTATAGATGCCAATCAAATTACAATCTCCCACAATTTGCTTTACCAGTCGAAACATATTTTTATAATAATTATTACTGTTATTTTTTCCCTGTCGAATGATTTTGAAATTGCAAAATAAGATCTACAGTTACTATTCTACATGTGAGAATAAATGTCAAATGATATATATAACAAATACTAGTGAATTCCTTTTTTTTGTTGTTGAAAAATATAAACATGACACGACTCTTCAACCGTATTAATAATTTGGACAATGTGACCTAACAATATACCTACCTGTCTCTATTTCATGACGGTCCTGCATCACGTGTTCTATTCTACCATAAATTCTCTGATTAATATTGCCCTTTTCTTTACTTTATTTTTGTCGTAACAATAATGATTACTCTCTCCTCTCTCTCTCTCTCTCTCTCTCTTGTTGGGTAGAAAAGTCTATTT